CTTTTGAGTTTTGAGGTCTCAGTACCTGGTGGGCCTGCTAATCTGTCACCCAACTTCCCCTCTTTACCGGGCTTACTAACAGTTACACGAGTTTTAAGAGTACGACGACCGGGATCGAACCCGGGATCAAGTGTATGTTTGACGAGTATTCTACTACTGAATCATCTACACCAAATATTATAATCATCTTTTTTTTCTCTTAGAAATATTTCAAGCATTCATAACTTTACACAAATCACTCTTACAATACACACCTATAACACATATGGACAATATTAATGCTCAAAAAAATTCGCCCCGTATATGTTTATATTGTGCAGTGTAATTTGCATATATTTCACTTCCGACAATAACTGTCCGTCACAGACACACACGCACACATTCTCTCGAGAAGTGTCTCCTATACACCTCCAATGAAACTATTGACTATTTTGGTGAAAATGTGATTTCAGAATTCAGCTTTCAGTTACGGGGCTGACGAGTTCCAGTCTTGTTTCACCCACATCAACCTATACAACTAGCCTATTGCCTGGGTAACTGTTCAGCTACATTTTTTTGATTACAGCTTGATTCCACACCGTATTTTTGGTACATGTAAGGGATTTTCAGGATGTGATATCGGTAGACCAAATTTTCCAGGTGTGCGTCGGCAGGGGATCGAACCCTGAACAATGTGAATGGTCGGCGAGCGTCCTAACCGCTGTGACACCGACGTACATGTATACATAAATACATATTACAGTTGAATAATAATAATAATAATAATAATAATTCATTTAAAATACTTCAAACTGTGTCAATAAAGTTATCAATTTCATTAAATATCATGAGTCACCTTGAAGTCAATTAGTTGTCTGCTTGTTGTTCGTCGTTGGTACACTATATATATATATATATATATATATATATATTAGTGTACCTATATTACCTTCATACATACAGATCACTTTATATTAGAAAAGGACAAAATTCTTTTGTCTACTCAAATTTCTCAACATATAAAAACATTTTTAAGAGAAAATAAAGGTTTAGCTAACAACAAAGAAAGAAAAAACTGAATATACTACTGTAAAGATATACATACATAGACGTATATACCCTAAATGAGTCTTTGAAATAGTTCAAAGATTAAAGTCTTTTGTGAATAAATAATTTGACACAAACAGAAGTCAAGATATAGCTAAGTTATTCATCACAACTTGTGTGAAGTGTACACAGAAACGAGACTAGATAGAGCTGATTTCTATATAAATACATATATGTATGTATAGTGTATCCTGGTTTACACCTGTAGGACTTTACAACTGATAAAGGTATACCTTGAAATAACAACAATAACAGGAAATAAACAAATACAACATATACAAAAAGTAAAGTGAAAACATGAGTAGTAAAACAAAAGTAGTTTTTCTTTAAAAAAAATAGAGGTGTAATCTGGAGAATTTATATTCAGCAAGAATTTCAACAGTAAATTTTTAAAAAAGGTATTCAGGAATCTGATTAAATTGAACAGACTTTGCATTCAGATACTATTTGTTTACATGTAACTTTGAATTACCCAACTTTAAGTCGGCACTAATGGATTTCTAAATAGTAGAAGTCAGTTCATTAAACCTGTAGGCTATTTTACAAGTAAGCAATTAATTAAGTTTGACCACGGATTGATATGAGTTAGAGGACCACTGAAAATCAGGGAGTACTGGACAGTTGTTTCGTCCTAGCTTGGGACTCATCGACAGCACTCTGATTCAGTAGTAGAATGCTTTCCAATCAGTCACTCATGTAATCTGGAGTTCGATTTACTGTCGGAAGACAGAAAACATTGGATGTGATGTTAGCAACTTCACCTAGTAAAAAGAACTCCACTGTTACTTCAATCCTTATCTTCCACCCTCGAAGAAACGAAATTTTTTTTAAATGGATTTTAAATAGAATTCAACATGATTTTTAGCACAACATAGACTTCTTTGTTCTGATTAATTGATTTTCTAGAAGAAAAAAACACTCAAAGGGTTTTTTTTCTATGTCTACTGATTGTGAAATATCAATAAACTAGTAACTAGTGTTTAATCTTTTTCTTTCTCTTTTTGGTGGGCTGCTTTTATCAAAACTTTTTTTTTTGTAGTGACGACTTTAAACTGATTATTTCCACTTTTTACAGTATCGTGTTTCCATGGCATTAGGCGCTTATTTTATTCAATATATATATATATATATATATATATATAATACAGAAAAATATATCATATTCACTGTTTATTTTATATTAATCTTTTTTGTTTAAGTCAAGTGTAAACTTTTCATTGTTGATTGAATGGACAATAACAGTTAAACACAACACTGACTATTTTGATTTTGGATATGTATATGTTTAAATTAAGAATTTAGGTTATCACTAACTGACCAACAAACTGTGATATCCTCTTCTATCATTTTAACCTTTGACCTATTTGTATATTTTATGAGTATATATACATACTAGACAGATGAATAATAACAGTAAGGATATATACATATGAAAGTTCTAAACAATGAATTATGCGTCTAATAAAGGTTTTTTGTTTCAATTGCTCCTCCATGCATCGGATACATCAAAGTTAACTGTTGATAAATAGTCGTCGTCTCCTACAGACAGCTGGTTGGTTGGTTATACACGCATATTCTAGTACTAGTATTATTATTGGTAATAATAATAATTATTATAATAACGGCAATAACAGTATAGACAGATAAATGATGAATACGTTGTTGATTTATTAATTTACTCTCAATTTGTCTATACAAATACAGTAGTAATATAGTTCTCTGTTGTTGCTACTATCTATTATTATTATTTTTCTTACTTATTTGCTGTGTTTTCTTATACCCTTGTCAAACCTCCCGTTATTATTACTAGTGATAATAAATGTAGTGAAACAATCAAAATGTGATCAGATAGATGCTACACTCTATAGAAAACAAAAAGCATTTTTTGTTTTCCTTTTCGACTGAATTTACATATGTGTGTGTTTTTTGGTTATTGGGATGACTGAGTTGTAGTAGGTGGGTAAACATCTGTTGGTTTAAACAACATCTCTTTGTCCATTTCTTTCTTTCGTTATTTATTTATTTATCTATCTATCCATTCTATAGGTGACGTGCTTTTCTCACCCTTTTTTATTTTCACGACATGAAAATGATTAACAAAAAAAATGTATATTTACATCAAATAAAAGTAGGAAGTAGAACTTGTTGGGTTCTTACATAGAGGTTAAGTAGTAGTAGTAGTAGCAAGTATGCCTTATAACTCGATATTCTTCGGAGAAATCTTTCAAGTCTCTGGTAAATCGACGTGAGTGCAATGATGTCAAAGTATGTGCCTGAATTCACCGGTTTCAATGACCAAGTCTCACTAGTCTGTGGTAGTAGCAACACGCTTCAGAGTTGAACATATAAAATTACATCTCGATTGTTTCATGTTAGTATATGTGGCTTACTGCGCATAGGAAACACTTCGTCTTCACTAATTAGTATCCTAGTGGTGCTCATTCAAACTGGTATATTTTGGGTATATGCTATATCAAGTATTGGTTCGCAGGGATTTGATTGATTACAGGTATGATCGCGAGGTGACAGCTGTTTCGTCCTGGTTAGGGGACACTTCATCAGTACGTGTTCACCGGGATTCGGACCCAGGACCTTCTAGTTACAAGATGAGCTCGTAGACCAACGGGATACACCAAATAGGATAAGAGAACAGTTACTCGTCTGTGAGATCGGCTGGCGGTTGCACTAAATACATCGCGAATTGACAGAAGTTGAAGATCATATGCCATATCATTGCCTGTTCAGTGCCGTCTGATTTAAAACACTTTCTCTAGCTGATATTGATTTATCTCCCAGGTATGGAATTATATTAGATCGCCTAATAATGTGAAGACGATACATGTACATAAAAAGTGGCCAGAAAGTAACTCCGAAAGAATTAACATGCATCAAAATGTTTTCCCGTACAGGTTTTTCTGTCACTGAAATGCTGTAGATAATAAGTTCCAATATGAAGTATGAAGATTAAAATATTTATATTTTCACTTTGACTAAGCTATCTAGTCTATGTGGAGATTGGTGATGAGAAATTCATCATTTTTAAACCAAAGTAATGACGGGTGATCATATAAGAGATAATCAATTAGACTGATTTATGACAGATAATATGGTATCGGTGCTTTAGTGGTAGAATACTCGTCAACTACTTCCTTCGTCCGGGATTCGATCACCGGTCGACTCACTCCTAAATCTCACTTAACCGGTAAAGACAGGAGGTTTCACGTGAAATTAACAACCCCATCCCTTAAAAAAAATAAACACCACTGCTACTGAAACTTCAAAGCTCAAGATTGAAGCTCTGTGTCCACCCCACCCCTTGGAACTCATAGGAAAATAAAGAATGAAAGAAAATATCCATAAATTTTTCTAGCTTGATTGAGAAGTTTGTGACAAAGTAACTGACTACGAAGTTGCCTTTTTTTAAAGACTGGTGTTGGCTAGAGAATTATAGGGAGCTAAACAGATGTTTGAAAGTCAGCATCAACGCCTGTTCGTTATACTACATGGAATGGAGTTCATGACCGTCAGATATTCAGCGATGTTTAAAAACTTGTCTCACTTCTTGAAATAATTTGTTCTCCACTGAAATTCATCAATGAGTGATTGTATTTACATTCAACTTGGTAGGTGTTCATTATCCAAGCTTTTCAGTAAAAAAAACTTCACGGAATCTATCTCAAAACTAGTGTGACTAGAAGTCTACCCTGGATAGTTTAAAATGTACTTCATTTTATACTGAATGATAGATTCCTTCAAAGCGGTAAAACAACAGCTACAGAATAAGTGTGCAATGAATTACCTACTATGTATGACCTTATCTTATCGCATTTACTTTTAAATAACATTCAATTTGCATAATATCCAATTATTATTTGTTTGTTTATTCATTTTTTCCCCTTCAAAAAAAAAAACAGACTATCCAACATACGATCAAGAATCGAATATGTCAGATAATGGAAATAAACCAAATCAAATGTTACCAATTTATTGTTCTATTATGGGCTTAATAATTATCTCATTACTTGCCTATGTAGTCTATAAACTGTGGAAGCAAAGAGAAGCTTCAAAAAATGCAAAATTATCTGATGCTTATAATATTGGCTGTAATAAAAATAATCTACTAGACAGAACAACTTGTGTAGATAATCATCATCTTCAGCATCATATGATTTCATCAGATTTATTAAATCATTCACCACAGTCTATAAGTGAGGTTACCAAAGAGGCCAGCAACAATAACAACAATAATGATCTTATTCTTGGTCATGAAAAAGAACCGCTACTTGGAAAATCAGTTGGTTTAAACAATTCATCAGGTAAGTGATACTAATGCCTCCTTCTTCCACTATAATAGTGTGCTCGTTATACTGTATCAAAAACTCTATGTGCCATCTGATGAATAGTGAGTAGGCAGTACTTAGTATGAAAGAAACTAAAATCGGTAAATGTAGGCTGTACAACACATAAACGAAGAGTATTCGGCAACTCCTTATTACTAGAATAGCTTAGTTTCACAAGCATAAAACATCGAAGTGATTCATACTTCAATTTTTACCGTTGAAAAGATTGATTAGTGAACGAGAGTATTCATTTTGACAACTTCTCCATCAAGTTCTACCAGTTATTTGTCCATAATAATAATCAAAAAAAATTATTTTTACTGTCATTTATCGGATATCAAATAAATTGCGTCGGTAGCACAGAGGTAGAATAGTCGATCCCCGGCCGACGCACTCGTTTACCTCACTAAGCCAGTAATAAGACTTGTAAAGAGGGAAGGTTGGATATGAGGCTAGTAACCTCATCCCGTAAAAATAAACACCACTGCTACCGAAACTTCAAGCTCGTTCTAGCTTGAAGCCCTGTGTTCCACTGGGAAAGTAAAGGAATAAAAAGAAATTGCCAAAAACCTATAGGTACTGGATTTTCCAAAACAGCAGATGTCATTGCAATATACTTAAAACAATCGGAGCTCTGCGTGCCGCAAAAGAAACAAGTTCAGCCATTATTGTTGCCTTGATATGCTGTGGAACATAAATTCATAACTCCTGAATTAATTTCCTTACTTTATCGAATATTCAGTTTAGTGTTATCGATGCATGTTGTCATTTACAGAGAACCATTGGAAAGCCCGCAAGGAGTACTGGAAATCTGTTTCGTCAGCCTAGTTTGGGACTCTTCAGCAGTACGCACCCAGCAACGTGGTTTGAACTCAGGTCCTTCTGGTTACAAGGCGAGGCATCTCGTAGACCATTAAGCCACTGGGACCCGATTCGAAGACAGGACCATGAATTCTAACTTCTGCCAATTCGTAACATAATGCGACCACTTCGCAATGTCTTCTTCGATGAGTTACTGCCTCACCTATAACCTGTTGGTTACGGCTCCCCACTAGAATCACAGGTCACTACCTGAATACGGTCAGCCGCTAGTGAGCATCACATCAATTTTTCAAGTATTGGTTGCTTTTTTCATCGTAAAAGAAATTGCGAAGTGGTCACGCTATGTCATGAATTGACAGAAGTTAGAATTCATGGTCTGGCCATTGGACCAGGTCCCAGTGGCTTAATGGTCAACGAGCTAGCTCGCCTTGTAACCAGAAGGTCCTGGGTTTGAACCCTAGTGGTGGATGCGTACTGTGAAGAGTCCCAAACCGGGACGAAATAGCTGTCCAGTACTCCTTGCAGGTTTTCCAATGGTTCTCTAACTGATGTCAGCTCATGATGAAATCCTCCAACCAACTGAACTGAATCGCTACAAAAACCGATCACTTTGTTAACATTCATTCTGCTGAAAATTACTTCGAAAGAAATAGGAGAGTATTCTTCATAACACAATTTGTCTTATAGTAGTAATAAAGAGTTTAATATCCATTATTGTAGCAAATTGTTATCATAATATTATGATAGTTAAGATAATAATAATTAAATAGTGATTTTAATTATTTTTCTTTTCTTTTAAATACTAATGTAGATTGAAATGCATATAATTAGTAGTTTGTACTACACACGGAGCAGTATTGTTAAATGATTTATTACAATAGAATATTGCATTTATTTATGACTGAGTTCCACTTTAAAACTTGTACACAGTGAACAGACTTATTGTACACTTTACTGGGCTAATGAAATAGCACATCATACAGCATGCTGTATCTAGAGCTTTCTTGTGCATTTAAACGTTTTAATCATCAAGTCTGTACATTTTACATGGAAGTTCCAGTGTTCCACTAGCACATTTTGTTAATAATCTTAACAACTCTAGGATTGATAATGATTATCTTTAAAACTTACTTAAGTAAAGTGAATATAATAGCTTGAATTTCTGTCTAAAACACTGAAGTGAAATCGTCATTTCCTATTATAAACTAACATTTTCCTTCATTCTGAGAGGAGCATAGGGCGTCAAGCTTCAGTAGCGGTAGTGTTAGTTTCCTACGGGATGGAATTCCTAACCTCATGACCAACCTTCCCTCTTTACCAGGCTTACTACTATCGGTAAAACAAGGTTTAGAAGTGTGTCGGCCGGGAATCGAATCCAGATCACGTGAGGTGTGGTTCGCGAGCCATGGAACCACTTGTATCTGTCTATTCATGCTAAAAGCTAAACTCACGTTGAATCCTGACCTTCTGTTTTATAAACTTGTATATTCTAATTTCAAACAATGAAATGTTGAATAAGCAAAGCTGATAAAATTACAATTCTTTTCTTTGATATTAAATTTTTTCCTCAGATTGCCTTGAACAACCATTAACAGTGATCCCTATGAATATACTTGGAGTTATTTGTTATCGTTTATCCCAGCATGGATGGCAAGACCTTGCTAATACAATGAGTAAGTTCAATGTTTGCTTTTCTCTCCGTTAAAACTACCATTTTTTTATAATTTGTTAGAATAAACGGAAAGGATAGACATGTACATATTTAAATTTGTTATGTTGAAGTATATTGGATACTTTTGTTGTCTGTTCACTAATCGCTAGCTGCTATCGCTTTGTGACAAACTAGCATAATCCCAGCAAACAAAACACCTGGGAACTACAAGAAGCTTTATTGTCATTATTGTATTCCTTTGCGTACCAAGTGGAACACAGAGCTTCAAACTTGAAGTTTCAGTAGTAGTGGTGTTTATTTTTCAGGAGGTGGGGTTGTTAGTCTCACGTCAAACCTTCCCTCTTTACCGGTTAAGCGAGGATAAGGAGTGAGTAGACCGGTGGTCGAACCTCGGACCATGTCAGTGATACAGGATACTTTTGAACAAGCAAATGTAGGATGATACAAATAGGTTTTCCGATGATGATTAACCAGTGTAGCTATTTAGTCTTAAGTGCGATGGTTAAAATCTTACGATCGGGCCAGCAGTGCGACTATTAAGCTGATCAGGCAACAGAAATATATTAACTCTAACAAAGTAGAGTTCACAGCTGTACGCTTCCCGGGATGTCCGAGTGAATTAGCACGTGGGTATAACGATACTGGAACATAATAAGCAACACCACTGAATACCGAATACGACTGTTCTCCCTCATATACCTTCTGCTTTAATGAGCCATGAAAATATCGCAAGACAAAGATTGTGTTTTGAGGACAACTCTCCTAGAAAAATATATCATTTGTATATACTACAAGACAAAACAATACGCCGAGTTAGTGGTTAGATAAACTAATTTGATTGGTTGTAAAAGGTGGGAGATTTGGTATGAGACAGAAGTTTGTCCAATAAAATTATCATATTCCCGTGACAACATAAATCTGAGATTTGAAACACAGTTCACTTGGTAACATTTGCAACAGTATTTAATAAATCCTCACTTCTTTGAGGCTATTATGAATGGGGTTTAAAGGTATGGATTTTTCCGCAAACAAACAGCGAAGAGCAGAAATGAATTATAATATAACAAATAAAGATATTTTGAGGTTTACTTCTCAACACCAAAAATTTCAAGTTGTTTTTATCTTCTTGACATTAGGTGAGGACTCTAATATTTTCTGTTAAACATCAGTTAGTGTGAATTAACTGTATGTAATATTTCATTTATTTGAAGCACAGAACTTGGTACAATATAGGCACCAAGAAGATGTGCCACAGGACAGCAATCAAACACGTGTATGAAGGAAAGTAGGGAGAGAATGAATAAATGACGTCATCGAGGAATGAAGAAAGTATATATGTCAAGATCAAACAACATTCGTCGTATTACTATCAGAAAGTAAAGAAAAGAGGAAACTGCAGCATGTTTACCACTGATTACGTTTCTCGACCAAATCTGATAACGTTTCGAGACACCGATTTGAACTATCTCTCGGACCCCAAACAGGGAGTCTTGATGTACCAACCAATGCTAGCCTGACACAAATAAGCTTTATACGACGACACTACTTCATAGACTGATCTCCTCTATGCATTTTCCACTTAGTTCCAGGGTTAAGTGAAGAGAGAACTGTACGGAAGCTTCTGAGATGACATTCGCAGCACTCAGTGAATAGTGATCTCCACTGTGTCCAAACACACGTTGCTGGACCTCAGAATTACTCACACGATGATGCCGTCGAACGCAAGCAATTCTATGGAGACAGTGATAATGGAATAGCCAGAGTCACCTCACATCTTTATCTCAGAGAGGTCAGGTTTTCCAGGAGTAGAGAAAGACTGTGCACAACGAAGCATTATAAACCCAACCTTTGACAGCCACGCTGAGGTCGCGACAATGCTAGAGAACTGGCGTATACTACCCTAGATTTCACTATACAGTTAGAAATCTTGTTCGTCACACTTCCACCAGCATTCACACAACCACTCAGATACTCGAACTTGTCGACAACTTCAAGCAGTTCACCTGCAAGAGTGAGTGCAGGAACAGGCTCTGCCAATCCTGTAACAGTACTTTGCACTGAGACGGAGCAAAGCAAACACCATACTTACAGACACTGATCGCCAACTAATTAACTGCAATTTGGGTAGCTTGCATGCTATCGCACAATAAGACGATATTGCCTGCATATTTGAGGTCGAAAAGTCTTTCCCTAGGAAACAGATCTACACCACCATCACCACGTATGTCATTCAGAGCTGACTCCAACATATCATCATTGGCAAAGTTAGAGAGAAATGGAGAGATTTGGAAACCCTGTCTAACCTCACTATCACTAGTTAATCTCACCACTCTGGAGCTTATTTCAGCCATGTCCTTAAACCAGGTTAAACATTTTATCCGAATAAGCTGTAATGTAACAGGCATATCTGGAAGTCATGTGATACAGCTGAATGCTTTTTGTATGGATGACTTTTTCTTATACCTAAAAGGCATTGTTTTAAACGCAAATCTATTTATTGTTCTACAATTTAGTTATTAACACTTTCAACTTAAATGTCTCTCTTTTCATTCTCCTTATAGATTTGGATACAAATAAATTTGATAAAGCTACGGCATCAAATGCATCGGATTTGTTAACAGCTACATTAGAAGCTCAGGCAACAGTTGAATCGCATTTAAAATCATGTAATCCTGATAACGTTAACAATAACAACAGAACACAGCAGCACTAACACTCGTAACGATTTAGATACTCTTAGTAATGATTTAATTATGACTGTATCACTTATTCAATATATTTACAAAAATAATACACTTAATTTGGGTCAACTTATTAACTATTTACAAAAATTGAATCGTCCAGATCTAATCGCTTTAATACAACAACAACAAACAGTAAACAAATTGAAAAATACTAGCGGTTATTCAAGTGAAGAGAATAAGAGTAAAACGAAGTCAATGAAATCCACGAAAGAGAATTTTTCAATTGAAAACTAATCACAGCCAATTATCATTATTACTACTATTATTATTATATATTTATACATTACCAGTAAATAGGCAGAAAATTAATTCTTTCAGTAAAGCCAGTTAGTACACTACTACTACTTCAACTATACATCTCTTATCACAGGAAAAAGAGATCTCTTCAATTCAATGTCCTTCTCTATTTTTTGTTTGTTTGTTTACTAACAACAGTCAGCCAGTGAAACTAAGTCAGTCTTTTTGTTTTCTTCTTCAATCCTTTAAAAAGTTAACAGCTGTCAATAAACAAGTGAGAAACCAGTGATGAATTTACTATGAGAGATAAAAGAAATCATAAAAAAAGAACAATAACAATAACCTTTCTACCAAATTAATTTTTAGGAAACTTAATGCATTTCAAAAGAAGAAGGATTTGTAAAAGCCAACTAGCCTTGCCAAGAAAACTTTTTCTCACATTATGTAATTATTACATAAGCATCCTTGAATTTATCGCTCCCTCCCCCCTCCCTCTGTACATTTCTAGCCTTTATTTACGCTTATATATAAATATTTATATAAATACTAAGAAGTTGCTTTATAAAGTGGAATTTTGAATTAAATCACTCATTTTTTGAAAATTTCAATTAAAATGTAATTTTGTTTCACATAAATTCACTTTTTCTAGAATTTTTAAATGTTAACTTTAATGAAATTTTCAAAATCAAGTGATTCAAATTGTATAAAGGAAAATATATATATGAGAATTTTGATGTGCCTGTCTTCCCCTACAGGAAGTTTTATACATATATATATTATACATATATATCAGCTATATAAGATACGTATATATATACATATATATGTGTATATATACATGATATTGCATTACATATACACAATATATATGTATGTATATCGATATGAGTATTTCTAAAGTGAAAATAAACAATACAGCATCTTAACTAGTAGTTGTTTAACTACTTACAATCCTATTTATACATATATCAGCCGGTGATTAAGGCAGAAAGACATTAACAACATTCGTTAATAAATTATTATTATTATTATACTTACTATCATTATTACTAATGCTTTTACTACTTCCATTATTACACAATTATCAACGAATTGATACTACTTGTTAGTAGTATTCATAGTTCACTGAATAATAACAATAATAATGGTAATAATGATAATACTCTTTATGCAACTGTTGAATTATTTTTTCTTCTTTATCTTTTGTTCTTTTTTTGAAAAAAACAACCCCACCTTAATTCATTCATCATATACGAACATACATTTGTTCAAACAAAATTGTACATAATGAATCGCTTCATAAATCAAATCATTTCTTGTTATATATATATATATATATATATATATATATGAAAAAGTTATAAAAATATATATAACTATATACATATACATATATTCCTTTTCTCTTTTTTCACTTGTTTAATTCTTTACTTAACTTTTTGCCCCGCTTAAGTAAAGTCAACTAAAAGAATGTTTTATTATTTGAATTTGAATGAAGCAGAAAAAACAAACAATTTGTGCTGAATAAGATGTTGATAGCATCGTTTATTTCGTCAGTATCTCATCAACTGCATACAGGTTAAAAAAATAAATAAATAGATGGATTAAGTTTATGGGATGATGTTGATGCCTGTATGCAGATGATATAGTCCTTCCTTCTAGGTGAAGACGTTGACAAAGTGTCGAGTCTTATGAACACTTTGAGTAGCAGCAATTTTCGAATGTTTGGCATGTGATTCGCTCCTATCAAATGTCAAACGATGATGCTACAGGACTGGACTACATCGACGACTCTTAGCTTAAAGATAGGGAGTGAAGTGGTAGAACACGTTGACCACTTCACTTGTTAAGGTAGTTGCATCAACCAGTGCCAATGGGTTGATGGCTGACGAAATCGCTGCACGGATACCGAATTACGCTATCTCTGGCATAGACGTGACATCCGGCTGGCTATCGACCAAAGGGCGTGTGTACTGCTCAGCAGTTCGCTCCATCCTTCTTTATGGCTGAGACGTGGCCATTGAAAGTGGAAGACCTGAAAATGCTGGCTAGCTGTCTTTGATCATTGGTACCTGCGTTCTATCTCCTGTGTTAAGTGGTATAACAAGGTAAGCAGTATTGAGGTTAGGCATCGGTCAAGAGCCAGGTAAGGAGGAGAAATTAGTAGACGAGGTTGTGAAGTAACACTGATTGAGATAGTTAGGACTAGCCTAGCCACCACCTTCCTCGACGGACAATGTTAGCTAACATAGGATGGATCAGGTTGGAGAAGAGCTAGTGGTAGTCAAACTAAAACACGGCTCCCATCAGTCAAAGAAATCCACAACAGTTAGATTAAGCCGGCCACGTAGGGAGGTGTACACAGGCTTTGTCTGGAAGGTAAAAACCAATGAAGGCTGGAGACAATTAGTGATATGGCTCAAAATCGTTCTCAGTGGCGCAGATGCATCCACGCTTTGTGACTTATAATATCCAATGAAATTCTATTCTTCCATATTATTATTGTTCGCCTCATATTTGTTTTATCTCTCCTCTTGCTTTGTATACTACATGGAGTTTGGAAACTGGAACTGCTGCACATCTGCGCAAAGTTCTACGTTGAAAGCAGTCAGTCCATTGGGGAATCCAAAACTTAATTAAACACAGTGCTCAGAAATTACACTTATATATAAAGCTTACGCCCCCGAAAGTTTAAGCCTAAACAAAAATTAAAGGCTGAGATACAATGGTAATGCGGCTACGTAATAAAAACAAGAGGTGGTTAGGATGATGAGTAACTAATAAATTGAGTAATAATGCGGTGAGTTGAACTCGAATCATAGAAACAAGTAAAATCACATCATAGCCAAGGGGAAAGATGTGGTGAAATAAGAAGGGAGGAGTACAGACATTCATTTACCAAGACAAGGAAAGACTAATAGCTGCTTCTTTGTGAAAATATCAGTCGGTTTACAGGTGTTTGATAGCGCCTGCTTCGACACACTTGAGGAGAATTGGACTATGTAGTTTATTGACAACTTTAGGGTAGGGTATTCATCTCATGGATCGTATCAACGAAATGCCTAGAAATGGCACTACTGGGAGTTTTTGTACCCTTGAGACATTATGCCTCTTGGTGATTATTTGAGGAATCTAAGGTATGCCCTTCTTTATGTCCTCCCAATGTAACTGATTCTACAGATATACGTAAATTCGTATAAACGGTTATAGATGATATAAGTAGGGTATCTGTCGACATTCAACAAACAGAATGTTATTTGAAAAACAGGGATCAACTTAGCTACAGGATAGATTTTGGCTAGTGAGGTAATCAATCCGTCTATTGACTATTCCTGCAATATTACCACTTTAGAAGTCGAGTTGTATGAAGTTAGTCTCCTTTCCACTGTCATTTTTGAATATTAAAACCTCTAAAAATCACATCAACAAATGGCTGTCTTCTTTTTAAAGACAGTATCCTATGCATGAAAGAATTGAACTTGAGCACTGTTGCAGTACGTACTCCTATCAAAGAATAAATTTATCTGATAAAAGAACACAGTGATACAATATCACTCAATGAGAACATTCCGAGTACAATTTATTGCTATTCACAATCATATCAAGGCACTCACATTGGTTTCAAACTTTGAGATACTGCTGACGGATATGGTTGTAGTCGCATTAAGATTTTCCCTTACTTAGTCAGAAAGTCATTTATGCTGCCTGCCTTCTCTAAGAAAAAGATGTTAAAGTGTCGACCGCAAAAACTTTACACTCTGACTCCCACTATATCGGTCCATAGATGGCGGTAAGACTTTTTGTATGCACGAAATCCTGTCACTGTCACATAAGTATCGTATGACAAAGCTCAAAGAGTCGAGCTAATTACTCTGTGGAATACTCGAGAATAGCTACTTGTATGAAACAGTATTTTATAGCTCCAGAACTGCGAATTTCTACTGAAAAAGAAAACTACTAAAGTTAGTATTCAGTAGGCTAGTTTGTTAACACTTAATAATTACAAAGTGATGCCGACGGCTGATTCAACGGGGAAATAGACACGTTAGCGATATGCTCTTGGCTGTATTCTTTTAAGTGTTTCTGCAAGTAGATTAACTCTGATATTGCTATGAGATTCGGTCTTCATATTTTCCATACAATCGACTGCAGCTTTGCTGAGATAATTTTTTGTTATACAGAACAATTATGATAATCCATAGCCACGTGACGATATTAGTTTCCGTAGTTACATTTTTCTACTTAAAAAACGGCATATCACACTGCATGAGATAAACATTTCTAGAAACTGATTTTCACCACATCCTCCGTTTTCATTTACCTTAACACGCCTGGTGCCCTACAATACATTAGATTAGAATTCGTCGTTTATTTTTGATTACAGCTTGATTCCACACCGTATTTTTGGTACAGGTATGGAATTTTCAGCATGTGATGTCGGTAGCCCAAATTTTGCAGGCCGACCATAGATATCGGGTGTGCGTCGGTAGGGGATCGAAACCCGGACCATATGTATGGTCGACGAGAGTCCTAACCACTGTGCCACCGACGCACAGTAATTTTTCAAAACTTCGTACAGAAGAAAGTGGCCAAATAAGTAAAACCACAATAAAATCAGCCTATCTAAGCAATATAATTCTATCCCATCACAGAATCATACTGCACTTGGCTGAATGCACATATCCCGTACTCTGAATATTCCCAATCTATTGGGCTGATCTATGAAGTTGACCTAACAGTAATTGCAAGGTATTTTGTAAATTACATTTTATGGTCTAATTAGGTCTCCTAGCCTCACCTGTGAGGCTTTTAGGTGTGAATGCCAAACTAATTTCTGCATTATTAGCAAACCTATCTAGGATTTTAGATCTCTGTTGTTTGTCTGGGAAGACTAAACTTTCAAGAGTTAGTTTGTGAAGATATGATCGATCTCAAGTTTGATCACGAATTGCGTTTAGTTAGAGAACCAGCAAAAATCGGATAGTATTGAACAGCTGTCTCGTCACAGTCCGGGACTCTTCAGCATTCACGACTACACTGGGGTTGATATACATATATATGTACTTGTTCAGCTTGTAAAACACATTGATTCACCAGTTTCGATGGGCAAACTAATTCATACGAATGACTGGTTGGTTAATCGCTTCCGGCAATGCTTGATAAGATTAGTGCTACTGAAAAACAACTACACTGTTGCTAATTTCAGCCAACGCGAAGTGAGTAGTGACTAGTTAACTGACCTAATATGATAACCTTACTCTGAAGATTTTGAATCCAAGTGTCTTTCTAAAACACGAATATGTAAATTCAGCAGGTGTATGTATTTTAAACCGGAAATAGTCTATTTCCTCGAATTCCTTCCATCGCTACTCACTCACTCATTTAGCATCTATCATGTGTACATTCAAGTGATCGTTTTCCTCTTCTTCTCCTTCTGCTTCTATCGATCCCCACTTCCAAATTATACGTGTTCGTGAATAACAGACAAAGTAGAACGGTGAGGATAATAATTAATAACCAACAGGCATACATACAGTAAGTGCTACGTGAATTCTATCCATCTGCCACTATTCCCCCTAATCGATATTACTCAGACTGAACTGAATCTTACAATTTAGCTTAAAGAAAATCAATGTATACTCAATATACCGCTTCAGTGGATATGGAGTATATTAATAATCACAATAATAAACCTACAACTATTTATATTCAACAAATACATCTAAATATTCAAAAGTTTGAACTGTTTGTCAAAATTCCATTTTCTCATTCAACTTTCACGATGAAAAGATGCAACTTATTCCAATCCTTTACAAGAATGTTAAAAATAAGATAAAGTAGATTCTAATGAAATTGTGCAAACTGTTTGAATGTTCACCAGCGGAAAACAAACGAACAATCAAACAAACAAGGAAGGAGGGAGGAGGGAAGTGTAAAGAAGTCAGTTGACTGCCGACACCTACATTGTAATTAAATATCTCATCATCATCATCTGTAGATAATTTAATAATTCGCAATAAATTCTTGAGAAATAATATCTGTCATGAATATAAAAGGATAAATGAAGAGGAGGAGGAGGATAGGACATAGACAATCATTCTCCTTCTATGCTGATATCCTATTCATCGGTATTTCTTAAAAGAACACCTGTAAGTAATTATCGTAAATTAAAATGAATTATTCTCCATTTTATTATCGACCATTCCAGGTGATCGATATTTAGAAGATATATGCATATCTATGTATTTCAAAAAACGTATCCTTAGTTTAGTCAAATTATAACTGGTTGATATGAAAACAGACAGTTGAACAAGGCGGATAGTATATCATGACTGAGACTAACGTGGGTCAGTGACATTCTTTTATGATGGGATAAGAGTGATTTAAAGATTCTACAAATTTTTCTGACTGCTTACGAAAATGATGTACTATGAAAGGCTCGTTTGACAATTGAACTGATGAGTTTTCAAGTTCGATTACGAACTGACTTTAATTAGAGAACCATTTAGAAGCGGGAAGTACTGGACATCTGTTTCGTCTTGGTTCGGGACTCCGTCGACGACTTCGCCATGGATCGAATGAAAGACTTTCAGGCTACAAAGGGAACTTTTTAATTATTCAGCTACTGCGACAGGATCCAATGATCCATGCATTATAACTTCTATCGTATGTCACACATTGTCACCTCACCGCTAGCTGATGTCATCAGTCAGTGAACAGCCTCAAGCTTGACTTGACGGATCCAACAGGTCACGACTTTCCACTACAAATTTGTCCTGTAATCAGTTACAAGCGAGCATCAGATTAAATTACAAGTTTGGTTTGCAGAGATTCGGTGTGCTACATGTATATATATCGCCAATTGGAGTAACTTATGATTTATTTGCGATTGGAATACGTCCCAGTTGCTTTGCATCTCGAAGGTCTTCCGTTTGATACATGATAGGTGACCAGTACTCCCTTATTTTCAGCAGTTCTCCAAATGAAGTCAGTTTGTGATCACACTAGAAAGTAATCGAATTACTGAGGTTAACAAGTGTTAACCGAATAAATTGTTCAAATCTGTTTACATGATGTGACCATGGCTGTTGACTTATTTACTCAGGCTGAAGTAGGTGGAGAAGGATTATAACCTATGATCTTCACTAAGTTAAAATCATCATGCATCACTTCACGCATCCTTAGAAGTAGATTTTATGCTTAACACTTCAAGTGAATGAACAAGATTAGACTAGTTACTACAGCAAATAGTGAAACGTATTAGGCTACATGCACGACTTTTTAGATCTAGATAGTTAATTTAATATGTAGAACAATCTTTTAGGCAAGTATTATCAGTGTGTTAATATTCAGTACCATCAAAAATTGTTCAAAATCTAAACTAACCAATTTATATGAAATGTATAACAAGTTAAATGACATTCAAATAGAAAACAATGCGCAAATGGTTAGTTTTGTAATAACTAAGTCTTTATACTAAAAAAGCAATCAATATGGCTACGGAAGCAGTTAGAAAAGAACTAACTGCCAATCTCAAACTCACTTATACGACAAGGCTATCCACTGGGGGAAGTTATTTCAGGAATTCAATTATGTCTTATAACTGCTTTCTTCAAATTCTAGGGCAAAATAAACAGACAAACAGAAGGGGTAGCTATAGGACCACGCATATCCCTAAACGTAGCAGATATTTCTATGGATAGTTAGGAAAATATTGCTCTTAAAACGTTTAATCTTACACCAAAGATTTGGTAGATGGCACTCTCACTGTTTCGAAAACAGAACATATCTCTAGTTTCTTCACACATGGAATGAATAGTATAGGGAATTAAATTTACACTTGAGTAAGAAAATGAACAAGAAAAATTAGCTATGGTAAGTTGTAAAATAAGACGAAAAGAAGGTAAACTATGCACTTATTTTTATAAAAAGTCGATTCCCTCTAATAGATTTTACACTTTATTTAATCTCATCCGTTATCTGTAAAGGTAGGCTCTAGTACATCAAAACATCTGAATGATGAAATGAAACAGACAGAAGAAGGATTGGTGCTAAATAACTATCCTATGAAATTCATTTAGATCAAGAAAGAGAGAAGGAACATCTAAAATCCTACGCAGGGTTTTTAATAAAGCGGGGATTATGGTAGCATTTAAACCTACAAACTCACTCAAGGAAAGGCTATGTAGATTGAAAGACAATTAGACAAAACAATGTTATCAAAATACCTTGCGATGGTTGAGCCTGATCGATTTTCACTTGTTACAAGGCTAGCCTCATAGATTTATAGCATGGTAATAATATAGTCATTCTAGATGAAGACGCTGATCAAATGTAGTTTTCTGAGTGTTCGGAACACGATTCCTTTCTAAGAAGCGCCAAGTAATGCTGCATGACCGGTTTGTACTGACTCATAGCTACAGGATAAAGTGATGTGACCAAATGGGCTAACCACTCGACTTATGTGGGAAATTCCGTCAACCCTAATTAGTGGATTGCTGACAAAATCTCAGCATGAATAGGATAACTTCGTCTGATATTTACCAAACGTTACCTTAGGCAGACGCTTGATACGACCAATGCTGATGTAATGATGAAATTCAGTGTCAGCTGTTTGAACTCGCAGGATTAGAAGATGCGTTTAAATGTTAGAAACTCGAGTGATTAAGTCACAGCTACTACCTAATTCTTCAAAATTGTTGAGAGCGATTCTTCTAAGAAGCAAAAACGTGTGTAATATTCCAAATAAGAATGTGAAGAACAACAGAAAGCAATTACATGGCATTACATTTAACAAGTAACAAAGCACATGAAAATAAAATTAATATTAGTTAATAAAATAAAATTAGGTAGACGGCATTAAGTTTAAGAGAAAAATAATCAGGATGACATAGTGGCATCCACAAACACCAGTGGTTCCTTGCCTACGACACGAGCAGAATGTGGGACATTGCGAGGGACTTCCAAACGATCACCTGGACCTAATATTATTTCTTTACCATACATCGTGAAGGAAAGCTGGCCACTGATTACACAATCCATTTTATTTTCTTGATGAGTATGCTCTGGAAAATTAGTCCCAGGACTGAACTTGTACTTGGTGCAACTGCATCCCTGTAAATATATTAAAACAAATAAATTTGATATCCTTACGACTCTCCAAAGACAATACTTAAATTGGATTTTTCACAAACCTCGGACTTTAACTTTTTCAACATCGTCTCTACAGAAAGAGGGCCATCGACGGCTTCATTCCAGTGATGTACGCGGAATTCGGACATCTGTAAAAGACAAATGAAATCAACTATTCATTTATGGTATGTGGATAGAGAAACGTGGTTTATCGTGAAATGACTGAGAGGTCTCAAGATATCTATAACAGTTTTCTTAATTAGAATCATTGTGTGATTTTTATGATACTAACTAATCACAGAGATTTCTATTTAACCTGCCCAGATAGTTCGTTAAAATCAGTGAAAATTCAGCTATACACTATGTGACTACATTTCACAATAACGGTGGTTGTAAGTGCCCTATTATGACTATAAGATGAACGACTTGGTACTTTTGTGAGTGATTTTCCGAAAAACACTCATACATGAAGCACTCAATACGGAATTTCACATGGAAGAGAGAAAACGACGCGAAGAAACTGACAGAAAACACCTATTTCAAGTATTAGTTTGTAGGGATTTGATTGATTGGTTACAGGATTTCATCATGAGCTGACATCGGTTAGAGAACCATTGGAAAACCTGGGAGTACTTGACAGCCATTTCGTCCTAGTTTGGGACTCTTCAGAAGTACACACCCAGGACCTCCTGGTCACTTGAATATCAAAGAAATGCTCACTAGCGACTAGCCCTATTCAGGTAGGTAGTTACCTGGGTTTCAGTGAGAAGTCAGCTCATGATGAAATCCTGTAACTAAGCACTTTTTTTGTTTATGTAACTAAAAGAACTCGGTGCATCATACTGAACAAGAACTAATACTCGAAAGATGACAATAAGGGAAGACGATTGTAGTTAAACTAATACAACTGGCAAATAAAAAATTGAGAAAAAGTTCATTATTTTAAGAAGCAGGAGAAAAAATAACCAAGTATAACAGACAGTAATCATTACTATTAACCATGTGTGATTACGTTTCAAACTTTTTTCAAGGTAGAAATTGGGACAAGAGTGTAGATGCCGAAGTCACCACAGATGTAGCGAAAAACAAATATTCAAAGGAACGATAATAAACAGAAATATATGAAGGACAGAACAATGAGAACTCAATGAGTCTATTTGTTCTGGCAGTAAATACATCTGCGTATCACCATTGCAGGACTCCAGACAGACAGTCAACAACTCCATACGTGTATCACACAACCAGTCAGACTTTATGAATTGATGTCAGGCTTTCACTTGACCATCCTTAACTTCAAACTAGTCCTATATCAGGTTTAGAAAGACTACCGAATCACAGATGAATGCCGTGAGACAACACGATACTAACTCAAATCAGCCATTCTCCACTTAATACTAGGAGCTGATCACTACTTCCAACATGATTCGGGACAGATTAATATTTAGTAGGTCACGAATTCAAATCCAGCTTCATCTAATTAAGTTTATCTTATGATTACGATTAGAACATGTCTATGTGAAAAATCACTTTCGCAAAACTGAGTTTTAAATTAACTAAAATTGATAGGCAAATCAGAATAGGCTCCAGATAATAAACATAATTAATCAAAACATATCCATATGATCATGTATTTAGATCTCTGAAGTGTACAACAATAGCTATCCTCAACGAACGAATAAAGATTTATGTTGCAGGCGTCCAGAAGCTTACAGGTTTAATCGATATAACTGACAAATTCCATAACCACAATAAAAAAGGGACAACTCAAAATTTGATTTTCGTGATTTAATTAGAACAACTCATCAAGAAATGTAAGTTAAATACAATAATATCTATACGTGCAAAAACAACCACAGAATTTAAATCACACATACAATGAAGTTACACCAATATAACCTAATATAGATATATAGTAAAATTGGGCAATGTTAACATACATTCACATGTACGGGTGCGTATCAGGTTGTCGAAATACAACCTGCGAAAACACCCAACATCACTATAGCACTCAACCTCAACAATGAGATACGGAGTGCAAACACAATCAACTCGCCTCACAATACTCCTGTGTCAGTAGACACACTATCAAACCAGACAATACAAACATACACTCACATGTACGGGTGCGTATCAGGTTGTCGAAACACAACCTGCGAAAACACCCAACATCACTATAGCACTCAACCTCAACAATGAGATACGGAGTGCAAACACAATCAACTCGCCTCACAATACTCCAGGATCAGTAGACACACTATCAAACCAGACAATACAAACATACACACACATGTACGGGTGCGTATCAGGTTGTCGTAACACAACCTGCGAAAGCACCCAACATCACTATGGCACTCAACCTCGACAACGAGATACGGAGTGCAAACACAATCAACTCGCCTCACAATACTCCAGGATCAGTAGACACACTATCAAACCAGACAATACAAACATACACACACATGTACGGGTGCGTATCAGGTTGTCGAAACACAACCTGCGAAAACACCCAACATCACTATGGCACTCAACCTCGACAATGAGATACGGAGTGCAAACACAATCAACTCGCCTCACAATACTCCTGTGTCAGTAGACACACTATCAAACCAGACAATGCAAACATACACTCACATGTACGGGTGCGTATCAGGTTGTCGTAACACAACCTGCGAAAGCACCCAACATCACTATGGCACTCAACCTCGACAATGAGATACGGAGTGCAAACACAATCAACTCGCCTCACAATACTCCTGTGTCAGTAGACACACTATCAAACCAGACAATGCAAACATACACTCACATGTACGGGTGCGTATCAGGTTGTCGAAACACAACCTGCGAAAACACCCAACATCACTATAGCACTCAACCTCGACAATGAGATACGGAGTGCAAACACAATCAACTCGCCTCACAATACTCCTGTGTCAGTAGACACACTATCAAACCAGACAATGCAAACATACACTCACATGTACGGGTGCGTATCAGGTTGTCGTAACACAACCTGCGAAAACACCCAACATCACTATAGCACTCAACCTCAACAATGAGATACGGAGTGCAAACACAATCAACTCGCCTCACAATACTCCTGTGTCAGTAGACACACTATCAAACCAGACAATACAAACATACACACACATGTACGGGTGCGTATCAGGTTGTCGTAACACAACCTGCGAAAACACCCAACATCACTATGGCACTCAACCTCGACAATGAGATACGGAGTGCAAACACAATCAACTCGCCTCACAATACTCCTGTGTCAGTAGGCACACTATCAAACCAGACAATACAAACATACACTCACATGTACGGGTGCGTATCAGGTTGTCGAAACACAACCTGCGAAAACACCCAACATCACTATGGCACTCAACCTCGACAATGAGATACGGAGTGCAAACACAATCAACTCGCCTCACAATACTCCTGTGTCAGTAGACACACTATCAAACCAGACAATACAAACATACACTCACATGTACGGGTGCGTATCAGGTTGTCGTAACACAACCTGCGAAAACACCCAACATCACTATGGCACTCAACCTCGACAATGAGATACGGAGTGCAAACACAATCAACTCGCCTCACAATACTCCTGTGTCAGTAGACACACTATCAAACCAGACAATACAAACATACACTCACATGTACGGGTGCGTATCAGGTTGTCGTACTAAAACGTGCGATAAGAGGCAACATTACGAGGGTACTCAAACAAAGTGCTGGACTATATGTGCAAATAGCTGGACTCACTTATGAGATGCTATCTGCTTTAGAAAGCTATGATTTCTAAAATTCACTTTATATTGAATAATTGGAACAGTATAGAATTTATAAGGTAAATTTGTCTCCCGTTTTAGCATTTTATTTAAATGATACACTTGAAAGCACTGAAGATTCTGAAGGAAACCCATGGCATTCACATATGTGCTCGCGGAGTTCAGCAGGACTGGAGAACTTTTGTGAACACACGGTTATGACGCAATCCAGCTGCAACCAAATACCTGTAGCGTAACCGATGTACTTACCTTAGGTCTGAAGTGTTCACAATGTTTTATGCGTTCATGTAATGAAAGGAGATGTGAAGACAGAAAGCTCACCCCACACAGGGAACAAAAGTGACGGTGGCACGTCATATAATGCTGTTCCATTAAACCAATATCATCTGTGACAGAACTGCATAAGGGGTCAGGACATGGTATACTACTCTACAATCTGCTTCAAACTACTTTAAACTATACCTGGAATTAGAAAATTCGTATCCATTATCATCCACTAAGTAATATTTGCTTTCTGACAGCAAATTGTTCATAAGATCAAAAACATTTCTAGTGGTAGTCATAGTCTGGAACACAGAAAGCATCTTGACAGAATCAATCATTAGAAATACAAAACCACACAACAATAAACATGCGTTGCTACCACTTATCACATCAACTAAAAATTAAGTCTCACTCTAGCATGAAGACTTTAAGTGGCAAATAAACACGGCAGAATTGTGAGGAAAGGAGTCATGAAGAATCAACTATTGACATCATGGGAAAAAGACCCTGATTTTAGTTTAATTTACCTCAAATCAAGGCCCCGGTGCTTACCATTTTATTGGTATTTTTTCCAGGATGTCAGGTTATCGCTTCAGGAGTTCTATGACACAGTCAGAAAGCCTGGTTCTAAAATCTGGATCTCATGAGACCTCACGGTAAAGACTAATACATGATAGTGAGGCCGCTGCTCCATACCTCTGAAGGTAATATCTGCTGTTCTTGTCGCTAACTGGAGAGTCGGAAATATTATGGTTCTGTCCATGTTCGGGTATTATAATGCTGAACTTTAAAGCTGAGTCATCTATGAGTGACATGAAACTGATGAACCAACACTTAATACATAAAAGCCGGCAGGTAGTAGAAGTGTCGGAAAAGGACAAAAAGTAACTCACTCACTCTTAATGACAACTTGAGCTCAAACAGAAACTCCCCCAACGCACGTGTGGCGAGAACCCACTTATTATAACAACAAAAACAGGTTTAGGCGCGCAGATTCAATGTACAAATTCATTGTTCGGTCACTTATATTCACTTCATCCACCGAGTTCGATAATTGGTCCACTACATTCGGTTGGAACCTATGTATTAGTTTCGCAAGTGTTACAAACATCCCTACTCAAGGTACTGTCCCAGTGTCTTTACGAGGAGTCGGCTAAACTACTACTCCACTTGTTGTAAATTTACACTAGGCAGTCACCTGAGAGGCTTCAGAGATTGATAGAGTTGGTCAGTGCGCTGACTTCAGCTCGTTATCACTCTCCGTCATTACTTCTTCCGGCCTTACGACGATGACATGAAGACGTTTGTAGTTGACGTCGTTAGGTCCCTGCCATGAGGAAGCTAACTTACTGAACTGTCCGAGCATGTCGTTTGGTAGGTGTAATCAAAAACGATCTCCCGGTATTTATGTATCTCCAAAAATTATTCGATCATATTTCGTCTTCTGATGAGTACTCGCAGACTGTGTATATTCTTGTGCAATTCTATATATGGCTTCTGTATTCTCCCGAAGCTTCCACGAGTGTGGAATGTAGTCCACAGTCTAGAAGAGAAGAATTGGTATCTGAATTTCACATGGTAAGCGCAACTCATGACAGAAAAAATGAGATGGAGAAAGGCCAGTCAATAAGCGCTTAGATGCCCCTTATGTTAGTAAACATTGTGGCAGAGCTTCGTCCTAGCAATCAGTTAATGCACAGCTGACAAAGTCTTGCTTCAATCCTTCTGCCTCCACATTCTACCTATTCACTCATCTGTGACTGGTGGAAGGGTGTGTATCTTCCCAATTCCAAACATAGAACAAACCTGGGCTTCTAACTGGCTTCATAATGCCACTGCCTGATAGAGCTTTACGCCGACAGGAGCTCCGTACCGAAATATCTACATACTGGAGAATACTCCCGACATAGTGATGGCGTCCTGCTGCAGGTAAAATGGTCGACCATAACAAAGAGATATCGATTACCATTTTTCGTTTCTGGATGCGGTCTTTTAGGGTCAATTCCGACACCGTGTGGTCCTGTCGTTGACATCAGTAACGAAACTGTCAATGGGGTAATGATTCGGTGTGTGCGCAGGTCTCATAAATTCTGCAGCTCTCCATAACATTATAATGTTACAGTGGCCATCCAAAACGTTGATGAAGCGCAGCTTCTGTCTCATATGAGCCAGCGTGTTCATGTTCTTGGTACATTTTCGTCCCAGTACATTGCATTTTTGACCCGTATATAATAAGACGAAGTGTTTTGGCTGGTTCTACTAAAGGAGGGATATTATAAACCAAAAGCAGATGTCCTCGCCTGACACAAATGCAGCGCAACATTAATGACGTATCCTTCATTAATTAACTCACAGTCATATTACTCCCGCATACCTGGCACTCAGAAATGTCCTGTCGTTCAGAATGTGCTCCTTCAGGGGAAGGTCGGTCAACTTTATCAGAGTCATAAAGATGTGTTTTCAGTGTCTCGGTGATCCCTGGGATACTCAGTACGGTGTCGGCATTGCGGCGTTACACTCGATGATACTGGCGAATGAAACTGGACTCAGGCAAGTGTTCTTGCCAACGTTCGAGAAATCCTGTAACCACTGCAGTGCTCTGTTATCAGTCCGGGTCAAAGATTTTCTTCCCAGTGGATAGTGTCGAAAATAATTTCAGATGTATGCAAGAGCCAACACCCCGCAGCGGGTAGCTGAATAGGTTGTTTCTCTTACAAAACTTCAGACTGGCACATACACTAATTCACTTTTCTACCGAATGAGCCACATTAAATTGGGGACCCATGCTGTCAGTTTTGGGTAAGACCAGCGCCTGATGTCGTGACGCTTACTTCTATCCATACTGACTCCTTGTAACTGCGCGATTTCATGTCTTAGGAATATGACAGACCTCCGTAAAATACGGTATTCGGATGATTTTGACTTGAGTTGACTATCAGGTATACGCTGAAAATAGCACGGAAATTTGAATTATGCACTTCACTTGATTGTCGAACCATGATTATGCCATCAAGATAAATGGGGCAGTGCTTGGGTGCTAGCGCGATCACTATCATTTAGATGTTCATGTCTTTTCAGTTACTACTAATGGTAATGCACAGGGAGTTGCAATCTGTTTGGATCTGTTAGTTTGTCCAGCTGGAGGGTTTTGCGTGCCCAGGGTTACGCCTAATGTTGTACCTTCAAATACTACAGTTTTACTTCATACACAATTTTACATTTTATGTTAACGAGACCATTCGTTTTGCCAACTGTGAGGGATTTTGTATTCAGCCATTGTGTTCTTGACATTTGGATGCCGGATAACCTCATGATTGGGGAATGATAAATCTTGCTGAATCTTCAACTATTTTAGTCTTAATACAAATCTACTTGGAACAACTTTGTTTGTTTTGGATTTTGGATTAAAGATTGCGAGTCACATATTCTTTGAGAGTTATTCGCTCAGTGATTCTGACCCCCGGATTAACGCGAAGATGCTGTAGGTCACTTATAGCCCTCCGCTTGACCAAAATGTCAACACCTAAAGTTACTTCCAACGTTAGAACATCCGAGGTAACAAAGTGACAAGTGCGGGCAAACTAGGTCAGTTACCCTATAAGTAGCTCCATTTGTTGCAGTTAATTCTTATACTGAGGTGAGGATCTTGGAGCGTTGTATCCAGTCGCTATAAGAATCCCTTAGGGATAACGGAAGATGAGGTTACCGTGTCAACCAAGTAAAGAATTTACCCGGTTAACAAACTTTCAGGGATAGGTGGGGATTTCAAGCATTGCATGGAACATGAAACATTAAAAATCAGCCCGCTTGATGTTCTCCTCTTTTTGCGACCGAAGAGCCAGGCTTTTCTACCAGGCTCCTTACATTGAGGGCACCATTCTCGGGAGATAAGTAGCCTAAAGCGCTGTTGATACTGTGGTGAAGGCTACCTATGCGCTAGGATGGACAATATACCGTTGTTAGCCATGAAGTCATTGTTGAAATATTCAATAACATCACAATCCAACTGGTTTGTTTCTAGAGGATTTTCAGGGTCATACGACTAATCAGGTATATATTGCCTATTTTATGGCTCGGATTTCCAAAGTGGTTTGCGGACTAGATATACCCGTATTTTGAATAACAGAAAGGCTGTTACCGTTTCCACAGTTAAATCTGACTATTATGTTTGTCTCAGTCTGGAGAATAGTTTCAGGTGATCAGTTGGTTATGCTGTTGTGTCTAGAGCTCATTTCAGTCAAGCTAGACAACAGCTGCAAATCACCTAGTTGCTGCTGACGGCTGGGCGATGATATCATGTGGTAGAACTATTTTTATGTTTTCTAAAGCATTCATTCTAAATATTCTAGTGGCTAGTAAGGGTGTTGGTCTACACAAACCCTTGAGTCGTTGTTCAGATCCAGCAGTGCATTCAAAACATGCGGACTTTATAGTAACTGCCTAATTAAAAAAATTTACCGAACGCTAACCAGACTGAGCTCTGTGTCTGTGGCACGTGAGGACTGGCTGCGACTCTGCAGAATGCTGTGAGCAGTTAATCTTGATCAAAGATGAAGTCCTTGCTGATGACAAATTTGCAATACTTGTGACACCAGTCTATGTAAGAACGGCTGGAGTTCGGGGATGGATTGACTGCAGCATGCGTGGAAGAACAGGGAGCCCGAACCAAAGGAGAAAATTCACCTATTTTAACAACAAAAGAGTTAGGCGCGCGGGTTCAGTATACCAGTTCAGTGTTTGATCGCTTATATTCACTTCACTTACAGAGTTCGATAACTGGTCCACTACATTCAGTTAGCACCTATGCATTAATTTCGCAAAGAATTAATCTCGCAGATTTTAACAGCGGCAATATTTGATGGTGCAGGCTATGGTGCTTCCATAAGTGAACATGTATGTTACACTGTAATATGCACCAGCATATTTCATAGGGCATGACACTTGGTGGAATAAAAGGTTCTTGACTTCTAACACATCCCGTTTTGAAGAGATTTACCGGTATCCCCCACAAACCGAGCAAATCATATTTAGATTTTTGATTGAAGAGAAAGGCATGTAGGCCTATTTTTTTCTTGTTAACTATTTGTCTGTGCTCATTTATCCATCTCTTGAACGGGCGCAGATACTGCTTCCTTTGGGAGTCGGATGTAAGATATGATGGTTCGGTGGGAGGGCCGGAGATACGGTTCA